CCTCGGGGGGCCCCTCAAGGGGCCCTTTTAGGGGCCCCTAGGGCCCCCTGTGGGAGCCCCTGTGGGGGCCCCTGTGGGGCCCCTGTGGGGCGCCTGTGGGGGCCCCTGTAGGGCCCCTGTGGGGCCCCTATGGGGGCCCCTGTAGGGCCCCTGTGGGGCCCCTGTGGGGCCCCTGTGGGGCCCCTGTGGGGCCCCTGTGGGGCCCCTGTGGGGGCCCCTGGGGGGCCCCCTTGTATGGATTTTGTTATTTGCTGACCTGCCAAGAAGGGCCCCAAGCCCAAGAGGGGCCCCACAACTTTGTCTCTAAAAGTGTTTAAATCCATTCCTTTTTCTGTACCCTTAAAAGAAAGATTAATTATGTTTTCAGTCTCGGAGTCCATTTGGGCCGGGGCCACCAAACTCCGCTCAGACCTGAAAACCCTAAACCCTAAACCCTAAACCCTAAACCCTAAACCCTAAACCCTAAACCCTAGCCCTGAACTTCAGGTCCTTTTTTCCGCAGCATTTGCTTGACTCTTGAGACGAAACCACGGAATACTGGCCCGAAGCCAAGCCATCTACTCTAAATGCTAAACCCTAAACCCTAAACCCTAAACCCTAAACCCTAAACCCTTAATGCCTCCGCAGCTCACCGGGCACGCCGGACAGCAGCAAGAACAGCCGCAACGCCATCTTGGGTCTTCTTTGGGGTCCCTGTGGGGGCCCCTGTGGGGGCCCCCGGGGGCCTCTCTGTGGGGGCCCCCGTGGGGGCCCCCGTGGGGGCCCCCCTGGGGGGCCCCCTCCCCTTTATTTCTTGCTCGGGGATCTGTGGTCTGGTCTCCTTTGAACCCAGCAGGGGGCCCCTCCCCTGTTGCTGTTCTTGAGTACCCAAAAGCAGCAGAGGGGCCCCCCTTTCCAGGGGTAAAGGCTGCAGATGGGGGCCCCCCGGGGGGCCCCCAGTGCCCTCGGGGGCCCCCAGAGGGGCCTCCTCGGGGGCCCCCACGGGGGTCACAAAGCCGTTTTGGGGCTCTTTTGACTCTGAAGAAACAAAAGAGCCGGGGGGCCCCTCTTTGGGGGCCCAGGGGCCCCCGGGGCCCCTGGCGCTGCTGGGCAGCCACACTTCAGGGGCCCCTGTCTCTGGGGGGCCCCTGGGGGGCCCCCCACAGACAGGGGCCCCCCGATAAGCTGTTCCTTGGGGGGCCCCTGTCTCTGGGGGGCCCTCCGGGGGCCCCCCAGAGCCCATGCGGCTGGGGGGCCCCTCGAGAGCCCCCAAGGAGGCACTGCCAGCAGCCCGGGGGCCCCTCTGCAGCCCCGGGGGGCCCCCCTTGGGCCCCGGGGGCCCCCCTGAGCTGCAGAGGGGGGGCCCCGCCACGCGGCTCCAGTGGCGAATTTCATTTTTTAGGGCCTGCAGCAGCAAAAGTAGACCAACAAAACCCACCAGAGGGTCCACGGGGGCCCCCGGGGGGCCCCCGGGGGGCCCCCGGGGGGCCCCGGGGGGCCCCGGGGGGCCCCCCAGCAGCCCCTTTTTTGGGGCCCCAAGGGGCCCCTTTTGGGTCTCTTCTGCATGCAGGGCAGCTGTCTGTACACCCGAAGTTGCACTTTAAGGGATTTCAAGGCACTGGGGGCCCCCTGGGGTCACTTGGGGGCCCCTGGGGGCCCCTGGGGGCCCCCAAAAGACCCCTAAAAGACCCTCAAAGAGATCTTCAGGGGGCCCCCAGGGGCCCCCAAAAGACCCTTGAAAGACCTTTAAAGGGACATCCAGGGGGCCCCCAGAGACCTCCAAGGACCGCCCGGGGGCCCCCGAGGGCCCCCAAGGGGCCCCTTAGGGGCCCCTTAGGGGCCCCCCAGAGGCCCCCAAAGCCATTTAGGGGGCCCCCAAAGGGCCCCTGGGGCCCTTTAGGGGCCCCTGGGGGCCCCAGAAAAGGGTAAAGGGGCCCTACCTGAGAAAGGCCTCGTGGGTCATGTTGGTGCTGCTGCAGCAGCAGCACAAGTTGCTGCACTGATGCATGCGTGAGAAACTGGGGCATGATCTCATCAGCCAGCAGCTGCAGCAGCATGTCCCTGCTGCTGCTGCTGCTGCTGCTGCTGCTGCTGCTGCTGCAGATACGTGCTGGGGGCCCCTCCGAGGGGTTGGGGGGCCCCTGGGGCCCCGGGGGCCCCTCCAGTCCATTAGGGTCTTGCCCAGGGTGGTGGTGGAGCTGGTTGAGCAGCAGCAAAATGGTCCCGCTGTCGAGGCTGCAGCAGCAGCAGCAGCAGCAGCAGCAGCAGCAGCAGCAGAACCAGCCCCATCGCAGCAAACTCTTAATTCTGCAAAACAGCAGGTTGGGGGCCCCTCAGGGGCCCTTGGGGGGCCCCCACCAGTACCCTGCAGCCGTGAGGGGCCCCCACTAGCTAGGGGCCCCTAGGGGCCCCCTTGAAGTACCCAAAACCCAACTTCTCCTCCTGGGGGCCCCCAATAAACCCTCAGTGGCATTTAAAAGTCTCTAAGGGGCCCCCGATAGCCTTTGAGGCCTCCAGGAGGTCTTTTGGGGCCCCCTTGGGGCCCCTTGGGGCCCCCTTGGGGGCCCCCCTTGGGGGCCCCCTTGGGGCCCCCCGCCAGGGCCTCAGAGGGCCCCAAGAGCCAATGTGGGGCCCCCAAAACCAACTAGGGGGCCCCCAAGCTGGCCTAAACTGAGGGGGGCCCCCTGGGGCAGGGTTTGCATGCGCACCTGGCAGGGTCAAGTCTGGGGCTGCTGCTGAGGCCCGAAAGGTTCAAAAGGGGCCAAAAGGGGACAGAAGAGGGGCCCCAAGAGGGGGCCCCCGGGGGGCCCCCCGCTCCTGGCTGCGAGGCCGTTGGGGCCATCCCACTGCCACCCAGGGGGGGCCCCCATGCACCGCATGGGGCCTCGGGGGCCCCCCTGCAGCGGCTGCTGCTGCTGCTGCTGCTGCTGCTGCTGCTGCAGCACAGCCACAGCACACAGAGGCTAGCCCAGAAAGGGGGAGAGTGGAGGGGGAGGGGGGAGGGTACAGCGGGGGCCCTAGGGGCCCCGGGGCCCCTGCAGGGTTTGGCTGGGGGTGTCAGCGGGGCCCGTGGCCCTTTAAAAGAGGCCCCTTAGTCTCTCAGTGCATTTAAATGACTAATGGCAAATAAAAAATGAAAAATGGAGAAAAATGATCCCAAAATTGTAGTGAAACGGACCCCGGCTGGTGGGCCCCCGGATGGCGGTGGCGCCGGGGTGTACGTACACCTGAGCTCGCGCAATAGAAAACACGAAATTTAACTTATTTCCGGATAAATGCATGCAGAAATATATATTTATTTGTTGGTTTTTAAGTCTATAGTTTAGTTTTTGCATGCAGACAAGCAGATAGGCTCGACAGGGCTTCGGGGGGCCCTGCGGAGGTGTTTGTGGCGGACCCGCGGCGCCTTCTTTCCTTTTATCTATTTCCCAACTTCTTTGAACAAATTTTATTCTTTTAAAGTCTTTTATTATTTCATTTCAGTCTTTTAAAGCCCGGCGTAGGCGCTGCAGCTGTCCGTACACCCGAGCTGCCCAGACACCCCAGCTGCCTATACACCCCAGCTGCACAGACACCCGCGCGCCCGGCTGTACGTACACTCCAATACCCTCGAAGGGGCCCCTCTGCGCCCCAGGGGCCCCCCAGGGGGCCCCCCGCAGCTTTAGTGGCAGGCCAGGGGGCCCCCCGGGGCCCTCAAGAGGGGTCTGGGGGCCCCTGCCTGTACACCTGAAGTGTGGGGCCCCCGGCAGCGATAGACGGGAAGCAAAGGGCCCCAGCCTGAATGACTTTGGGGGTTTTATTCTTTTGATTGAATTTAAATGCATTTCTTTCTTTTGTAATCCATTATTATAATATCCAATTAGTCAGTTTAAATGCATTTCATTCACTCTTTTGTAATCCATTGGGGGCCCCCCTCAGGACCCTAGTGGGGGCCCCCTTCTCAGTACCCTAAAGGGGGCCCCCTGGTTTGTGTTTGCCTGTGGTGGTTTGTCTCTTTGCTGCTTTTGCTGCCCGGGAATGCTCAGAGCTTGGGGTTTAGGGTTTTATTGTTCTAGGGTTTAGGGTTTAGGGTTTGTGCGGAGAGTTGGGGGTAATGTGTCCGGCTGGGGTCCTAGGGTTTACGCCTTCGTCCTAGGGTTTAGGGTTTGAGTGTAGGCCACAGAATTAGGGTTTAGGGTTTGCTGCACGAGGGCTTCTAGCGAACACTTCTAGGGTTTAGGGTTTAGGGTTTTTGCTCTCTGCAGCTCACAACGGAGGAAAGGCACAGCTTAAGAAAAAGGGAAATGAGGCCCCTCAAGCCCTTAGCCCTGTAGTGGGGGCCCCCCAGGGGGTCCCCCAGGGGGCCCCCCAGGGGGCCCCCCTGGGGGCCCCCAAGGGGGCCCCAGGGGCCCCCAGAGAAGGGCCCCCGTATGTATACAAGAAGCTCTTCAATCAGTTTGGGATTTATCCATATTTATTCATTGTTTGTCTTACATTTAATATCTTTTATTGCTGGAAATTCATTTAGTGACCTGCCTGGCTAGCTGGCTAGCTCTCCAGCAAGCTAGCCAGGTAGCTGGGCTATGTAGCTAGCCAGCTAGCTAGCCAGCTATCTAGCTATGTGGCTAGCTAGCTCGCTCGCTAGCTAGCTGGCTGGCTGGCCATTTACCTGGCTGGCTAGCTCTCCAGCCAGATTCGGCTGGGCAGCTAGCCAGCTACCCACATGGCCAGCCGGCTACCTAGCTAGCTAGCTAGCTAGCCAGCTAGCTATCTCGCTAGCTAGCAAGCTGGCTAGCTAGCTAGCCGGACGGGCACCTCCCCTGGTACTTGGCCAGCTAGCCACTCGCTAGCGAGCTGGCTAGCCAGCTTGGTAGCCAGCTGGCTAGCCAGCTAGCTAGCCAGCTAGCCAGCTAGCTAGCCAGCTAGCTGTGGCTCAAAGGCCTCACTTGGCTGTTCGTCTTTTCTTCTTGTGGCTGCGCTTGGCCGCCCATGCGGGTTTCCAGTTGGGCTTGGAGCTGCTGCGTTCTGCTGCATTTGTTTCTTTATTTCTTTTTGAATTCGAAAATTCTTTTTCTTTTATTTCTTCTGTCTCCGTCTCCTCGCTCTCCGAGTCCGTTGCTGCACTGCTGAGCTCCGCGCCTTCTGAAGGCCCTTCTGCAGCAGCAGAAAAAATTAAAAAATTCGAAAAAGTCCTCATTTGGGGTGTACGTACACCTGGTGGCTGCATGCATTTCCGCCACCAGCTGGCCCCGAAATTCGGCTTTTTGAATCTTTTTTAATTATTTATTTTTATTATTTATAAATAAAAACAGATTTGTGCAAACAGCTGCAGAAATATACACTTGGAAGGCAGAAAGACGCGCATGCGCCATAACAACAAAAGCAGGAGCTGCTGCATGCATGCAAGTGCATGCAAGTGCATGCAAGTGCATGCAAATGCATGCATGCAAGTGCATGCAAGTGCATGCAAATGCATGCATGCAGCCTAAAATGTATCTTTTTTTGGGCACTTTCACATGCAAACATATTATTAAAGGCCGCTCCGGAGCAAAGGCAAAGAAAACCCACTTTCTAAAAGTCTTTCATATGTCTCTTCTGTAATTTTCCCTCGCCGAAGTTTGCGGGCCATTCGCTCTGCATGCAAAGCCCCAAAATGTCTTCATTTATTTTAATAAAACCGAATAAATTTAATATGCATGCAACTCGTTTATCCACTCGCCGTTGCTTTCAATCCTTTACATTCGCGTCTACTCGTTTTTCCTTGCATGCTTGCATGCATGCAT